CCTGCTTACACATGCAACAAACTGAAGACTACACACCCAATGCTCTGTATGCTTCACTGCTTTAATGTAAATACCCACCAGAGGTAAGTAGTCTATGAGCTGTTTTTGAATGTGATTCAATAAAGACTTAATTGTCATCTATTGTGTGCTGGACTCTGCACTGAACGGTGGGAATGAATCGGTAAAAGTTCCAGGAATGCTGGGGCTCAGGATTACATTGCTCCAGGGTGTGCCATTCACACTGAAGTTAACATGCATGGCGCCCCCTGGAGTTGTTCAGTGCACAGCCTGAGTGGCTGAGTTCAGTGGTCCCTGTACTCATGGAATTTAGATTCTAATAGGGAAAGCAAATATTGAGCATGGTATTGAGATGACATTGACATTATTAATAGTATTGTCTTTGTAGAAAGAATCTAAATGAGGAAGGAAGGGGATAGAAATCACACTCTCACCCATTTTCTATCCCCTTTTCCTGTTGGAAATATCCAGAAACACTGTCTTCATCAGCTCAGGCTATCATAACAAAGCACCATAGACTGGGTGTGTGAAACAACAAATATTTATTTTTCACCGTTCTGGAGGCTGAGAAGTCTGAGATCAGTGTGTCTATTAGTATGGTCCAGTTCTGGTGAGGTCAGCCTTTCTGACTTGCAGCTGTCTTCTTGGGAGGTGGGGGGGGAGAGAACTTTCTTGAGTGTTATAAGGGCACTAATCCCAACAGAAGGGCTCCATCCTCATCACCTAATTACCCACCCCATGTCCGCTTTCTAAATACTATTTTTATAGAGCAGCCCCGATATTGAACGGGTTCCTGGCGACATCCTTTTCCCCCTAACACTATCATGCTTAGCAAGCTAGCTCTTAGGTTAGAAATTAAGTATATAAATTTATTTTTTGGGGGTGTGGGCAGGGATACAATTCCATTCAGAGTAAACACTAAACTAGGTTTTCTTTCAAGGGCAGCTTTAGGAACTGTGTAACTTTGAGGAAAATGACCAGTTCTTTCACCTTGCCAAATACTGCTCCTCCACCCCCACCTGGTAGTTGTGAGCCAGGCTTTTCCATGTCACAGAGTTACGCATGTTAAAATACAAGTTGGGGGAAGTTAGCATCTTGGTGTAGATGAGTTTTAATGTGATTGGGGGGAGTTGTGGAAGCGTGGGCAGCTAGAGACAGCAAGAAATCCAGGTGCCCACAGAGAAAAAGAGGGGCCTCTTGGGGGAGGAGCGGCCAGAAACCCTGCATGGGCCAGGGCTGCTCTTTATCTCTGCTTATCTCTGTTTGTGTGCACAAATAGCAGTGGAGGGCCAAGGTCCTGTTTTTACAGCCAGAGGGGACTTGTGGCCGTGCAGTGGGAGGAGAGCAGGGGACCACTCCCCGAGAAATGAAAGACTTCTGTGCCTGATGGGAGGAAGGAAAGGGGAGGGTCAAGGACAGCCTGCTAGGGAGGCACCAGCCAGGGCTGCATTCCTCAGCCCCCCCCCCCCAGCCGGACCCCAGAAGCCAGGCACTGGGGGAGGGAGCGGGGGCTTCCAGCATAAAGGGAGGGGTTTACTCTTGGACATGTGTTTGCGGTATGGCGGGACACCTGCCCATGATTCAGAAGGCAGGGCCAGAGGGACAGTGGGAAGGGAGGGGGCGCAGGTGTTGGGGCTGGAGGGCTAAGCTGGGAGTCAGTAGATGTGGAATCTAAGAGAACAAACGAGGGAGGAAGGTGGATGTGTGAGGAAGAAGAGGAGCAGAGTTTCTGAAAATCACATTTGGAGTCTAGATGGCAATCGTTTAGAAGTTTCAGTTTTTCCTTCCACCTAGAAGGCCTCTGTGGCCCCTGGGAAGCCCTGCTCTGGTTATGTTCTAGGAGGGTCACTGGAAATCTGTAGAACGTACAGCTCTCAGACCTGGGGTGACTCCTCCTCCTCCACTCCAGGTGGGATAGTGTAGGGATCTCACACCTCCCCCAGCACGGGGCGGAGCTCTGCTCCAGGCAGCAGGCCTTGGGGGCTCTGGTTCTGGCAGAGCCCAGCAATTTGTCCCCCTTGCCTTTCCCGCTTCTGATTACAGCTTTGAGTAGCCTGAAGTCAGTTGTTGATGAGAACATCATTTTACTCTGCCTTGTGCCAGCTTCTTGGAGCCCAAGACATCTATCATCCCGTGGTAATCCAGCCCCTGGCTTTGGGACAGGCAGGAGATGGCTGAGGCTGGGCTGTGCCTGACCCAGCCTGGGGCACGCTGGTCACCACTCTACAAAATGAGTCATTCACTGCCAGCCTTTCCCTGCTCCCTCTGCCCTTTGCAACTTTCATGCAAATGTCACCCCTGGGATCTTATCATTGTGGATTTTTTTTTTTTTTTAAGAAATACCATATTGAAAAGGACATTTGTCCTCTGTCTTATTTTAAATTGCTTTCCATGGGTTAGGGAGACCCGACCATTGATTTTCTTCTAGAAAGCAGAGCAAGTCCTGTGAAGATTTTGGCTAATTAACTTTTGGAGAAGTGCTGCTTGAATTTATCAAGGAGGGTGAAGTCTCTTTTCTCTTCCCAGGTCTTGAAAACGGCTTTAAACATTTGTTTCCGAATCTCTGCCAACGCCTGGTCTGTTTAAAAGTGACTTCCCTGGAGACGATGGCAGAGAGGGTGTTGGATATCACATTTTTGCAGCTTCAGTCTCTAATATAGTTGTTCCAGTGCACAGAAAGTCTTTTCTGTTTATGTAAGAGAGGTATCGTTCACACAAAGATTACATTTAAAAATACACATTTCCCCCCTAGCATGCCTGTTACTAATAACATTGCATGTTATGAATGTGGAAAGTATTTAAGGTGAAATTAATTTTCTTCCAGCGTGCCACTCTGTTTGACTTTCTTGTTCCACTTGGTGTGGGGCATCGACTTGGCCAATCTCATTTTTCCTTTTCAGCAAGTTTACTTTCTTGCTCCTCTCTCTGGGATCCAAGCAGTTGGACCTGAGTTATGGAGCATTTTGGGGAGAGTCTAATTTGAGATACTACTACAGATTTCTTTTGTGCTGACTTCTAGGGTTTGTTTTGCACATGGAAACCCTCTTCTTTCCACTCAGTGAGTCTTAGTGTGTGATTTTCTTTTAGATCTGATTTTATGGATTCTCTTTCAGCAGATTTTCTGGGGTTGGAATAGTTAACATCATGTTTGGCAGTCTGTCAAAAAATCGTGGGAAGCCAGATAACTGTTTCTCACATTGGACGCCTCTGGGTCACGTGCTCTTGTCAGTTCTCATCTCTGTGGTGAGACTGGTCCATGTTGGTTGGAGGGGGGCCGGGAGTACCTGGGGCACCTGCACAGACTGTGTCACCTTGCCTGGGCTGAGCTGCCCCTGAAAGTTTTGTTGCACGGGGCTTCCTTGCCTTAGCAGGAGGAGGCACTCTGGAAGGTGGGACGCAGATGTGAACACTTTGTCGGAAGTGGTTCTTTATATTTGATCAATCTCATGATCCTTGTTACCAACTTTGATTACATCAGCGTATGTGCTGTTCGTTTTATAGCATTTTAATAGGCATCTCTCCCCCTCCCCAATTCATTTCCAGCTGTGTGACTGTTATAATTTGATTACAGTTTAGTTCTGCAACTGCTAGGACACTTTCTGAGTGCATATGCCTTCCTTGGAGAGTGAAGATATTCAGAGGTGAAAAAAGAGCTAAGTTTTTTTTTTTTTTAAATAAAGGAGAAATGTCAACAAGGAATTTCCTAAAAATACTTTAGACACGTCAATGGTTGTGTCCTCCCAGAATAAGAAATTTGCTTTAAACTCTGGTTGACTCTGAACCAGTGACTTAAAAAAAAAAAAAAAAAAAAAAAAAGAGTATAGAAAAATCCATTTAAAATTTAGCTTTCTTTATTCTTCTAAAGATATTTTGGTTAAGAAATATATTATTTTTAACTTAAGAGACTTCCCTTTCTAATTTGGCTCCTCAAACCTAGAGCGAATCAAACAAAGGGACATTCATAATGTTGCTTCAAAATGAACGACTTGATTCTCCCATTTGGCCCGGCTCTCCTTGTGCTCCTCCCCTGCCTGCCTGTCCTCCTCTCCTCACTACGAAGCTCAAGTTTACCTGGCAGAGGTGATGTTATTACATTTGTGTTTCCTTGAGTCCTTTATTACCCTCCACCATAGGCCTATCTTTTATTTGATCTCATTGATTATTTTTCTGCTTCGCGGTGATTAGTTATATCAATACAATGTTTTTGGCCTTTGCAAAGGGCATTTTCTCAAAATTAGTAGCATCACCACATGTCCAAGGATACCAAACATTCAGGAATGTAAAATTTACTTAATCAGATCACCACTCCATCAAACCAGACAAGTCTTTTTATTTGTGTTATAACCCCCAGGAACTGAATTATTGTGGGTTCAAATTTCAACTGTTACTATTTTAAATGGTCCTTTTGTTTGCTTTTCATTAGGAAGTTATTTTGCCTTAAGTGTGTAGTTTTAAAAGATTGCTGCATGCCCTTCTTCACCTCCCTCCCTCCACACTAGCTCTGCTCACAGGGCGTTTCCTCTGTCCAAGTCTTTATACGGAGTGCTTATTTTTTATTGTAATGGAAACTCACACATCTATGCTGGTGGTTTGCATTCCTCTTATGGTGCTTTTGCTGCTGACCACTGGGTACAAAGTGTGGCCAATGGAGGCTCTTCATGAGGGGGCTCTAGAAGCCGATACCCCATAAATCCACACAAGATTATCCCAGAGCTACCTCCATTCTAGAGTAGGACCTCATGCTTCCTAAAACAGGGACTTGTCCCATTGACTGGTGTTTTATTCTTGGATCCTAGGCTCTTTGTTAAAGGGGTTTCCTGCTTCCCTTGCAGATTGGGCACAGGTAACAGGTCCCGGTTGGTGCTCACTGCCTCGTCTTCACAACTGCAAAATCTACCTGGAAAGTGGGCATGACACCCAGTTTCTCTACAGGTGTGTTTTGCTTTTCCCTGGCCTCATTCCTTCTCTCTGTCTCCTGCCAGGCTCGGGGACCAGTTTTATAAAGAAGCCATTGAGCACTGTCGGAGTTACAACTCGCGGCTGTGCGCCGAGCGCAGCGTGCGTCTCCCCTTCCTGGACTCACAGACCGGGGTGGCCCAGAACAACTGCTACATCTGGATGGAGAAGAGACACCGTGGCCCAGGTGAGCCATGCCACCCCTGGGATGTGCACATGTTTGAGCTCCTAGGCAACATAGCGGAGGAGCTGAGCTCTTCTGGAATCTTCGCAGCCAGGGTGGGGTTGGGGATAGTCTAGACTGTGAGGAATAATTTCAAGAAACTCAGGGGGTGAGATAATTTCAAGAAACTCAACTACTTTTACAGTTTCTGGCAGGTGTTGCAAGGGAGACAGCAAAGATGGTTGGGGGCATTGAAGCCACATTCAAGGAGGAGCAGCAAAGCCTGAGATCTCAAGATGTTTAGTCCACAGAAGAGCAGCCTGGGGACATGGAAGCCATTTTCATCTTTTACCCTTGAGTGCTGGGGTAGCTTAGTGAGTGTAAGCTGGAAATGTGCAGTCAGTTTGGGCTTGAGGCTTAGCTTTGTCATCAGATGGCTCTCCCTCAGGTTCCTCAGCTGTAGAATAGAGATAATAGTACTTACTGCAGGACTTTATTAGAATTAAATGGAAATTTTCACACAAAACTCATCACACAAGTTTCACAGGGAATAAATATGTGCTCCAAAAATGCTTACTGTTACTGATGTTACTATTACCAGTACCATTATTATGAGACTGTTACGTCTATGCTCCAGAGAATAAAGACCGACGGCTGGAGCGTAAGAGGACAAGTTTAAAAATATAATTTTCTGGCTCTGTGTAAAAAATAATTATGAAACACTTCAAGCCAATCCAAAAATAAGAGGGTAGGGACATGAATCTCCATGTATTTATCACCAGATCTCAATAGAGATCAACTCATGGCCAATCTTGTTTCATTTCTTCTCACCCCCACTTTCCTCCTTGACCTCAGGTTATTTTGAAGCAAATTCAAGATGCGTAAATGTTTCAGAATTTATCTCTAAATGGTAAGAACTTAAAAAAACAAATCCACAGTAGGCCAAAGTTAACGAGAGCTTGACTATCAAGTTTTTGGTCAGCATTTAATTCCCTTTAGCTTAAATTGGGATCCAAATAGGATTCCTGCATTTCAATTTAAGTCTCTATAAATCGGTGGGTCTCCCTCCCTCCCTTGAATGATATTTGTGGAAGAAACTGGGTTGTTTGCACTGTAGGGTTTCCCAGACTGGATTTTCTCATTGCATCCCCATGGTGTTATTCCTGTGAATTGGTAGTGAGGTCTAGAGACTTGAGTAGATTCAGGTTCAGCTTTCTGGGCAAGCACAATCCCTAAGTGGTGATGTGTATTTTCATCAGGAGGCTCACTTGGTCTGGTTATCTCTCTTTTACTGATGTTAGCTGCCTTTGATGATAATTGCCTAGATCCTTTATTCCATTAAGGGTTGCAAAAAGGTGGCATTCAATTTGAGGCAATCATTATTTCTTCATTTATTAGCTCAGTAACTTCTATAAAGAGAAACATTTCCTCATTAAAATTTTGGTTATTGTGTAGTATAGTTCACATATGAAAGGCAGGATAAATGATTTCCCCTCTTTATTTACCAGTTTTCAAAATAATGAGTTGTTTTCCTCGTACTCACCAAAGACGATCGATAAAGTTATTTTTTTGAGTATCATTATGAATTCACAGATTTAAATATATTGGATGCATTTTAACCCACTGCAGCAGTTCTTACTGATGCTTCATTTGTCTTATCTTTCACCAGTGTAGGGTTTTTGGCCAGTCTGGTGTTTTAAACCAAATGCTTCCTTACTCTGATAGCTTCCTTACTAACCTAATATAAGGACAAAATTTTCAGGTTCATCTTATATATTTCCTGTGTCAAGCCCGTAATCAGTCATGTAAAACAACAACAACAACAACAGCAGCAACAACAATAACAACAACAACTCTATTTTCCTTTTTATAGGAAATGTTCTTTAGGGACCACAATCTGGTGACTCATTGCTCCTAGGTTGGTCATTTTTCTGGGTCTTTATGGAGAACAGGACTAAGAAATATGATTTTTCTTTTAAGAGAAAATAAATAATGAAATTATACTGGTGTTTTCTGTTCAGTTTTATAGTTTTTACTTAACTATCTTAATCCGATATCTCCTTTTTTCTCTATCAAAGAAATCCTGGCTCTTAATAATGCTAATATAATTACTTATTTTCTTTATCCTGCAATATATGCACAACAGTATCAGAATAACAATGAGACTACCAACAATAAGATTACTAAAAAAACGCTTAAAATTCTTTCTTTTTTTTTGCAATTCTTTTTGTCCTTAGGGTATTTCCTATCAAGGATGTAGAGTCAAATTACTATGTTGTAAGGTCACTTGAATAGCTCCTCTGTGTGGTTATTCCATTAACTCAGTTAATACACTTGGATTTATTTGTTTCATTTTGTTTTCACTAATTAGGTATTACTTTTAAAAAATTTCATAATTTCTTTGTCTTTTTTAAATTAACTTTTTATTTTGAAATAAGTATAGATCCACGGGAAGTTGCAAACATAGTACAAAGAAATCCCTTGTGTTCTTCACCCAATTTCTCCCAATGTATGCATCTTACATAACTATAGTACATCCTCAAAATCAGAAAATTGACATTGGTAAGATGTGTGTGCATAGTTCTATGCCATTTTATCACATTTATAGATTTATGCAATCACCATCACAATCAAGATACAGAACTATTCCATACCACAAAAATCTCCATCACATACTACCCTTTTAAAGTCACACCAATCTCTCTCAGTTTAAAACCTTTTACCAGGCTTTATTTATAATATAGTGTCTTAAACATATCCTTACATACAGTGAAACTTACATGCTTTTAGTTATCAAATATAATTTAGAAAACAAAGGATTTTTCTCTTGCATTAATTCATTTTTACTCTTTTATTGTTCTTTCTTCCAAGGTTCCTTCTTTTATATATTTTTTTCTGACTAGGTATTTTCTTTTAATGTGTGTTAGCTGGTAACAATTTCTCTCAGTTTTTCTTCATCTGAGAGTGTCTTGATTTTTCCTTCATTCCTAAAGGATATATTTGTTGGATATAAATTTCTGGTTTATAGTCCTTTTATTTTAGCACTTAAAAAATATTGTGCCACTCCCATTTTGGCCTCCATGATTTGTGGTGAGAAATACACTAGCATTCAAATTGTTTTCCCTTGTAAGTAAGGTGTAAATTCTCCCTCACTGCTTTCAAGATTTTTCTTTATCAGAACTTTAACTTTAATATGTTTTGGTGTGGATTTCTTTGGATTTGTCCTTTTTGATTCATTCAGCTTCTTGAATCTGCAGGTTTATGTTTTTTGCCAAAATTGGGAACATTTAAGTTGTTATTTCTATGAATATATATTCAGTCCCACTCTCCTCTCCTTTTGGGACTCCTTGGACACAAATGTTAGGCTTTTTGTTATAGTCCCACGAGTTTTCCCAGGCTTTGTTAATTTTTTTGTCTATTTTGTTTCTGTTACTCAGACTGGGTGATTTCTATTGTACTCTTTCAAGTTCACTGCTTCCTTAGCCTTTGCTCTGCCTTCTGCTGTTGAGTCCACTCTTTGATGATTTTCTTGTTTTTGTTGGTCCTGTATTTTTCATTTTTATTAAATTTCCACTTGGCTCTTTTTTTTTTATCTTCTATTTCTTTGCATTTACTCCACAGTTCCTCCATATTCTCACCAACACAATATGATTATTTTTAAAAAGTTTTAGTCATACTAATTGTTAAGTAATGATACCTTATTGTTGCTTTACCTAGCATTTTTCTAGTTAATAATGTTCTTGAGCATTTTTACATGTACTTATTTGCAGTCATGTGTTCTTTGGTGAGGCTTTCAAGTCCTTTGTCCATTTTTAAATTGGGTTGTTTATTTTTTTACTGTTAGATTTTAATAGTTATTATATATTCAAGATACAAGACCTTAATCTGATATCTGCTTAGCATGTATTTCTCTTAGTCACTGGCTTGAATTTTCATTGTCTTAGCAACATCTTTCAAGGAGCATACATTTGTAATTTTGATTAAATCCAATTTACTAATTTTATTTTTTATGAATTATGATTTTGTTTTTGTAGCTAAGAAAGCATAGCTTACCACAAGAACAAGATTTTTTTCTTATTTTTCCTAGAAGTTTTATTTTAGGTTTTATAGTTAGAGCTGAGATTCATTTTGAATTAATTTTTCAGATGGTGCAAGGTATGGATCACAGTTTCTTTTTTAAAGGTAGATATCCAGTTTTTCAGCATAATATGTTGACATGACTAGTCTTTCTCCCCTAAATTGCCTTTGTTACCTTTGTCAAAAATTAGATATCCACATTCATATGCATCTGTTTCTGACTCTCAATTCTATTTCTTTAATTAATTTGTCTATCTTTACACTAATATCAGACTATCTTGATTTCCCCAAAACTGATCTGTAGAGTCCACATAATCTCAATTAAGATTCTTATAGATGTTTTATAGAGATGGACAAGCTGATAGTAAAATATATATGGAAATGCATACAACCTAGAATATCCAAAATAACTTAGAAAAAGGACAAATTTACAAGGCTATTACTACCTGATATCAAGACAGAAAAAGCAAGGAAACATTTTACTGAGTCTTCACAAAGAATGCAATTCTGTCAGTATCTTGAATTTCACATCAATGAGATTGATTTTGGATTTCTGACCTCTGTAACTTTAAGATAACAAATTTGTATTATTTTACACCTCTCAGTTTGTCATAACTTGTTACAGCAACAAAAAAGAAAAGACAGTCGGGACTAATGCAAGTTTATTCTAGCTTTTTTTCAATTGACCTTTGTATAATTGCCATAGTTTTAAATTTTTACATAAGTAAAAACTGCATTGTCACTGTTTTTTGTTTAAGTAGTCAATTATCTTTTAAAGAGTTTTAAGTAATAAGAAAAACATCTTATATAATTACCCATGTACCAGTTCTGATGCTGTTCATTCTTTTGTGTAGTTATACATTTAGATCTGGCATCATTTTCCTTCTGCCTAAAGTAATGCTTATAACATTTCTTATGGTTCTGTTGTTGAAATTATTTTTTCTACT